TTTGGTATATAATCTAGCAAAAAGCATTATTCCGTGGTTCATAAATGCTTTAGAGGACCTGGTTTGGTATATAATCTAGCAAAAAGCATTATTCCGTGGTTCATAAATGCTTTAGAGGACCTGGTTTAGTGTATAATCTCTAGTATGAAGCATTATTCTGTGATACATAAAAGCTTTAGAGGACCTGGTTTAGTATATAATCTAGCAAAAAGCATTATTCTGTGGTTCATAAATGCTTTAGAGGACCTGGTTTGGTATATAATCTAGCAAAAAGCATTATTCCGTGGTTCATAAATGCTTTAGAGGACCTGGTTTAGTGTATAATCTCTAGTATGAAGCATTATTCTGTGATACATAAAAGCTTTAGAGGACCTGGTTTGGTATATAATCTCTAGTGGGAAGCATCATTCTGTGATACATAAAAGGGTTGGAGAACCTGGCTTTATATGTAATCTCTTCTTGGGTGCATCAGATTTTATGATACATAAAACGTTTGGAGGACCTTATTATTATATAGTCACTGTTAGGAACCATCAGATTTCATATGTAAATTCATGTTTCTGAAATGGATAAAAAGGCTAATCCTGTCACTAATCTTTGATAGTAAAAACAAACTGTATGAACATGGATACCTGTGTTAACTTTAGTTTCATATTTATTTAACAAATATTAATGGAAACAGCAGTGAAGTTAATTTTCCAAACAGGCCATTCATTCATCTGTTTTGCTTCTTTTAGTTAAACAATAATGAAACAATAAATAAGTCATAATTTTAAACAATTACAACATCTGAAACTTTTGTAGAAGGTAGTCATATTGATAATTTGGATATTTCTCTAATATTATTCAATAACTGAATAATATCATTCACAAATCAGTAACAAGAAGTACAACTTGATTGCAGGAATTTTCATCCATAACTAAGTTTAAGCCCAAAGCCATACATGTAGTTAACTACTACTATACTGAAAATAATTAGAAGTCCAACTAAAAAATGGATTTTTCTGTTTCCAAACCTCCTAATCCAATTGTGTTAAGAATATTGTCACACAGTGGTTAAACACAAGATAAATAGTACATTTATGAATTTGACCTATGTCTTGTTAGCTTATATTTGTAGCACCTTAAATAATGAACTGAAACATTAATTTAAAATGCACTTATTTGTTTGTGCAATTTTTATTAGCCTTTATAATGAACTTTAGTAAACAGAATTATGAATTAGTTAAATACTTTGAACTGGCCACTGTTTTATTAACCTTCCTTATTAGTTTGATGAATAATAAACTGAAATATTAAGTAATAACTTGCTTTTGTACATAAACACCATTATTGAGAATTATATAATTTTTTAAAAATTGCATTTCCATTTGTAAAAGTGTGTATGAAATTACTCTAAGCTCTAGCAATGGGTTTAGGTACATCAGTTTGCTATCTTTGTATGCTGATCAGGAAATGTGAAATCATCTCCTAGTTGTTATGTTTTGGTTTTATTCATTAATAAGGTACTTATATCAAATTGAACCTTATTTTATCAGTCATTTTATTCTGTAACTACTTATTGGCTAAGAAAGGATTAACGTGCACTAGAAAAATGGTGGTCACTGATCCTTTAGCTAAAATAACAAATAAACTTAAGTATTCTTAGAATGGTCACTGAAAGAGATACAGAAAGTTATTGTGTGTGTCTTTCTCAGAATTGTTAAAAACTTGAATAATGGTACTTAAAAATGTCCTAGATTTCATTGTACCATATGTTTATAGAAACATCAAACGAAAGAGTGTGTTTTGTTTACCAGTGTTACTAGGTTCTTTAACTGGAAGGGAATTTTCTAGCAGAAACTTACTTGGATACTTTTAATGATGGAACTTAATTTTGAATGCTTACTTTATATTTTGTTATATTTCAACATGAGAAAATAAAGACATTTCCCAAGTGTCAGTATATCATTCATTAATATAGCTTATACAAAAAGTTGCATATTAATTTGAATGGTGAAAGAAAACATTAGCTTCTTCTTTATTTTCTTATGCAAGATACCATTGCTTTAAACTCATTTTTCTTATGCTCGTCCTTCAATAGACAATTAGAAAATTTTGATAAACAAGTAAGGTAAATGGCAGTTTTTCCTTTTTTTGTTATTTTTTGTAAATGTCTGAAATTACAAATGCACGTATTTTGTAAACAGAAGTTGAGCAAGCTTTGATGATAATGAAAATAAAACAGTGTAATATTGAATGTATTAGATTATAATAACATTGTAAGCATAGAGAGCATCATCTTAATCTAACTTGTTATTGTTAGTTTCTCTGAGGCAGGTAAAATTATGTAGTAAAAATCTTCAGACTGTTGTTCACTAGATTAATGTTGATGTTCAGATAGTGGCAAAATTCTGTTAATGAAAGGACTATCATATAAATATTTTACCACTTTTGTAAAAATACTTTGGCACATTTTATTGTTTTGTCATATGTAAGAGCTATAGATTTTTTTTGTTATTTTTTTTTTTACAGGGGAAGATTACACTGAATAAAAGATTGTGCTGTGTAGTGTTGAGCTCTGTTTGCTGAAGTTTATTCTAACTAGCTGTTCTAGTGTCTGGTGGATTTACAAAATTCATCTGTACAGTAATATTATTGAATTAATTTGGTATTATATCAATCCTGGGCTTCTTTTTTTTTTTTTCTAATGCACTTAACTAAAACTTACCAAACAGTTTTTTTTTTGGATTGCTGAATTATTTTAAACTACTATTTGGAGGTCTACAAAATTATTCCTGTTAAATCTTCACTTTATTAACTAGAAGTACAATAAGTTTTTAGAAATAATGTATTTGCTCTGACATAGCAGCAAAAAAATTAAATGCAAGGAAAAGAAAATGGATATTTTGATGTATGTGAACTGAATAAGCTTAGGTTTAATTTTTTCCACATCAATTCATACAGTTATCTTCTGTCTGTTAGCAGTAGTAATAAGAATAAGCAAGCATTTTTCTACCGTTTCAATATATATTTGTACTTATTCTTATTTTTGAGGTTTTACTTTTGGATTGTGATTGCAGTTGGTCCAAAGTGAATGTAGAATACTTCTTTTATAAATATCACTGCTGGAAGGATGAAGAAATCGTTCTTGATTTATGTGTTTTTAATGTGCAAAATTTAGTACAAACGTTACAAGATTGGTTAATTATTATTTTTTATCTGAACTACATAGTTTCTGAAATAAAGAATATTGAAAGAAAATTACAATAAACGATTATCAAAATGAGTATTAGCATTATTTATAAGTATCAAACTTGTTAACAGTATAACTGTAAGATTGTTTTGAACATTCAAGAAAAATTCATAAATTAAAATACTGATATCTTGTGATAAATTGTAACAACTTGAAAATCCAAAGAAAAACTTCCTCATGTTAGGAGAAGAAACTAGTTCACATCAAATAATGACCAGATGATTTGCTTATGGAGAATAAAGTGAAAAGCCTGTCTTTATGTAGTAGTAGTAGTAGTAGAACTTTCAAAAAAAGCATTATTAGTCAAGAAATAAGAAACAAAATAAGTAATAGGAAATTATAGATATCTTTTTCAAAATGTACATTTAAATTGTTTTTTCAAAATCACCCTGTAATTACACAAATTCAATGTTGGTTAAAAAGTTACTAATAAGAGAGTAATATTACACTTTGATTGCGTGAGCATGAAAGAACTTGGACTGTCCAGCCACAATAGTCACTTGAAACTAGCAGATGCCCATTGAAACATTTCAATGGTAGTTTTCCAAAAAATAGTGATAAATAAATATAAAATGTGCAGTAATCCTAATCTTTTGGATCAATGCGTATACATAATGTGATTGTCTAACGAGCCATTTACATTAGAACTGGCTTTTGGCATTCCATGTGTTATTTCAATAACGAAAATTTCATTGCATTTGTTTTTAAGCAAAGGAGATTGATTGCATGCACTATTGAAAAATATATTTGGGTTTTAATGCAATGAGTGCATCTAGCACAATAGAGTGCTTGGGTTCGCTAAATCGCTGAAGGATTTTTTCCAATGGATGCCACCATTTCTTGTCATTTTACTGAGTGCAAGAAAATACCACTGTTGAAGTCAGCACTTTTTGACAGTTGTCATTTCTATAAGAAGTGTCAAAGGGGAGATATTCAACTTAAATCAGTAAAATCATTCATGTATATAATACCGACATTAAAAATAAATATATATAAACTGAACAACAAAAATATATACTCAAACACATTCCTTTCTTTATGCTGTTTTTACGTTCGTTATCCTATCTTCGAAAATTCTTTCAATCTTTTTTTTCGTGAAATACCCTCACAAAAAGACGTTTTTGTTCTTCAGTTGTTTTTTTTTTCTCAGTACCGTTCAGTACATATGAAGACTGGTGGGTTGATTTTGATATTGGTATGAAATTTTTGAAATTGCAAAAAATTAATACTTTTCCTGTAAAGTACTCTTGAGAGAAGCATTTTGATTTTTTTTTCTTCTATGATTAACAGTTCAAGAGATATTTGGCTATTATATATATATATATATATATATATACATTCCTGAAACTGTAGTCACTAAATAGTATTAAAATGAATAATATCAATCAAATAAGATGAAAATGTGTCGGAACTATTTTGTAAATATTAATTATAAGATCACTAGTGTTCTACGCATTGTAATTGTCATGAAAGACCAACTTTATGAGAAAAAATTTCTAAACTTTTAGCCAAATTTTAATATAAGATCTAGAATTAATTTTTACCAAGACGTGCAAGATACCAGAAAAATATATAGCTCCATTTTTACTACGTTTGTAAAAATCCCCTGTACTATCAAAATGCTACTGTCTTTGGGCATTGCACCATACTATTAAAGTTAGAATCCATATATATACCTACCATAAGAACATAGGGCTTTGAGATGGAAAGGATAAAACCATCGTAGCAGAAATTACTCTAAATAATCATCCATTGTATATTTTGATCCATATCAACCCACAGAAAGTACCTAGTGTCTTCTGTCCAAAAGTTCTTGAACCTAACCTCAAATTTAAACACCGAAAGAGATCTCAAAGAATGCAGATAAATTAGGTATTTCTTTTTAACCCCTGGTGCAGTCCCCACGTAAGGTTATTCAACTTTTTGTCGGTTCAGTTTTTGATTCGTTACTGTTTAGATTATGTAAACACTAGTGTAGTTTTTGATTTTCCTAGTTAAATTATTGTTTATGGTCAGAAGATGCATATGATATTGTTGAAATTTGTATTAATTGAACGTTTAAACACGTTTTGATATAAAATTCGTGTAAAAGGGTATTTTATTCATGCATCAAAGACTTATGTGTGTAATGAGATGTTTTAAGTACTACTTTAACACATCTAGCAGCATACAAAAGAATTTACAAAATCTTGACTTTACAATTTGTTAAGAGTTAACACACGCCTGTTGAAAGATTGTTTTATAATTTTCAACTAACAGAGAAAGCACCTAATCAACAGTACCAATCTCCAGCTTTGGTTGACGAAGTACTGGGATTTGATAATCATTTTTATAGTGGACAGACAGTTCAATAGTGCAGAGCGCGTTTGGCGACAGTGGGTTGTGAACTATGAATCTTTGTATCCATAGTACGAACGTGTTAATTGGTAAAGCACGCCGCCCCCAAATGAGAGTGTGCAGTGGTTACATAATAATAATGTTATATGATAACCTTATATTATATTATATAAGGTTATAAAAGTGCGAATGGGTATTTGAAATAAATGAAGGATATTCTTGAAATAGATATATATATAATTTAAATTTGATGTTTCTAAAGAAAACTATAAAGTGAAATCATTGCGTGTGCTTGTAACATGGCCAGAACTTTGGCTCTTAACTTTTTATATTTAAATTGCAAAAAATCAGTACCTGTCTTCGGATATATTATTCTTAATACAGAATGGTTTAGTTCTTCAGTGCTATAGGAATTTCTTTTCGGGTTTTGTTTGCCTGATATCTTATAACGTTTATTAAAACAGAAATAGACAAGGTGAATGGTTTCATAAAATTGGTAAAATCTGGAAAGAAGCCACTGATGTTAAATGAACTCAAACCATTCTAGTAGTAAATTACTAATATATATTTCTTAACAAAAATAACTACAACATTATGTAAACTCCAAATATTTCGAAATTCCTTTCCTTATCATTTTTGAGCAGAAAACAGACTTTAATGAATAAGCTATTACATATGTTAAAAAAAAACATGTAAAAGCTGCTCATGTAAGTTAAAGTGTATGAAATATAACATTAATTTGGCAGAAAGAAAATGTAAAAATTACATATACAACTAATGGATCAGTTATTTATAATCAAGTTAAAATGTAAAGATTGCATATGCGAACGAGTGGATCAACTACTTATAATGAAGTTAATAGGTAAAGATTACATTTCATGAACAAAAGGATCAGTTATTTATAATCCAGTTAAAGAATTAAGCACCTGTGTTCAGGGTGGTCGAACACGTACAATATTACCCTAGGGTGTTTTATAACGGGAGTGGTCACCTATCAGATAATAAATACTATAAAAATATTTTTTATGCTTGAGTTTTCATACTGTTGTATTAGCACGATTACTGAGAAAAGAAACTATCAAAAACTAGGAAAGTTAACATTTTGGGGTAACAGTCATAGGTATAATTAATTAACTTGTCATAAGACATTCCTAATAGTCCTATTATGTTTTTAAACACTACATTCTTTATCTAGTCCCTTCAGAGTTTTCTAGAATTTGAAGAACTGGATTGAGATGAACATTTCACTAATGGATATGGCAAACATAGTATGTTTGGAAAACTATTATTCTCCACTCGTCTAAATCTTGAAAATTTCAAAGGGACAAGATAAAGAATATAATGTTTAAAGATCTAATAGGCCTAATACTAATGTTTTATGACAATCATTTCTGATCACACCGTTTGGTTCAAAATGTCTTTTGTACTAGCTGTGTTTGGTGGGTATCACATGTGGAATAGGTTTAACCTCACAGTCACTGAGATGCCCCAAATGGTCATCAGATTCAATCAGAATTCTTTGTCCCTAACCTCTTACGTGAGTAGTCCAAACAGTCACTTAACTCCTTTAAGTACACAGCACTTCATTTACACTTTATAAACTTGCGCATTCAAATACAAAATACTGCAACCGAAAAAAATGTTTCATTAGTGAAGTACAAGGTTCTCCTAATAAGTATTATAGCAGCAAAATCAGTGAGATAGAAAAGAGCATCATTGACAGAATAAAATATTTGTGAAATGAATTGATAAATGCAAAGGTTAAACCAGTCACATATTTCTGCATCTGCTCAAAAATTCAACCTAAAACACCATTTAATATGAAATAGGAGAATTTGTTTGGTATACACCTGTTACCATTATTGCTTTATTATCTATGACTGCATCACCTTCATAGACTACTCAAGCCATGACACTACCAAATCCAGTTTCATAATTTAGCTTGCTAGTTCAACATCCCCACCCAGTCAAGAAACCAATAGACTATTATGGAAATGTACCATAGGAAGCATATTGGGCTCAGTTCGAAATAATTTCCAGAGTGAGCAGGTAGAATAGTGAACAACAAGCTAGTCAGCTGGCTGGCTGTTTAAAAGGATCAGCTTCAACAACATTAAGTAACTTTCCTACTGAGAGCCATAACAACTATCAAGCATTAGTAGCTGCCATATCCAACAGGTTTGGAGTGACACACCAGATGGAAGAATCCAGAGCAAATTGCCATAACAGGGCACAAAGGAAACTTGTGGAAAATTTGGAAAGGCTTGCCAAACTATCTTACCTAGATGCTTCTCGTGAAATTGTGAAGTAGTTAACATTGACCAATTTGTATATTTCATAACAGCAAAGTAGATGTACATCTTTAAGGGAAGCTTTGCAATTGGCAATGGAACTAGAATCCATTAAAGTCACAGATAACCAACAAAAGGTACCATCTAGAAGAATTGAGACGATTATTTAGATAACTGGTTACGCTGAATTGAGGAAATAAACCACAAAATAATGAGTGTTATAAGTGTAATTTGAAAGGACATTTTGTCAGAAACTACAAGCGAAACCAGTTGGGAATAACAACTCTAAAATTATACCAGAAAAAAAGATAACTTTTATAGATGTGGAAAATATTGTTATTACAGCCGAAACTGTAAGAAATTAACAGCTCTTATTCAACCAAAAAGACAGAGCCCAACCAAATCAAAGGAACAACAAAGAGCTAACTAGACATCAAGAAAACAGAAATGTATTGGATTTATGAAGCGAAGTTTAGCTGGGAATACTCCCTCTGCCTTAAATGTGATAAGAAGTTAATTAATTGAAGAAAGCTATCCATCGTACCTTGGTTTTATCGATGGGTTTAATTTGACCCAATATAGTGGTGAAAAGTGGGACATTGCCTACAATGATGATGAAATAAGATGGATT